ATTATCTCCCCTTATGCAGCCTTTACCAAATTTGCTACCTCCTCGGTAGCATTGTAACAGATATTTTCAACTTTCGATGGGAGTGGTTCCGACGGAGGAGGTGGCACTTGAAGGAAGGAATTTTCCAGCCTACTTGGAGAGGCTTCCAATTTGATGATCATTCCTCTTCTAGTCCCTTTGTCCGACCATTTCTTCCCACTTGATTACCGTTTTTCTTTTTTATTTTTCCTCCATAGCTCAGCCACGTATTGTAAAAGAGTGAGAAGGACAGAGCAGGGCAAGGGGGAGGGCCGATCCCGTTCTGATCCGTGCCAGTGTAAAGTATATTGTTACGTCAAGAAGTTGCAAGGTTGTGCGGGTATCCCTTCTTTATTTTATTTTTTCCCCCCTACAAGAGGACACCATAGCAATAGCGCGTAATGCATAGACGCGCTTGCACAACACACACACGCACATGCATGGTGTGGTGCATAGGTGCTGAGCGCGTCGGCTCCGGGGATGCCCCTCCCCAGAACTGACATGTTTTTATGTTACACATGTGTTGATCTATGCACGGAGTATGTCCGTCTGTATGTATGGCGGGTACCTTTCCCCCGCTCGAAGGGATCTTTCTATAGCGCGATCATCTCCACATGGAGAGAAGTCTCATGTGTGTAATTTGGAGAAGACGTTATGACTGAGCTCTGCAATGGAGTTAAGAACCAGGTGTGAGTATAACCTCTGAGCACACACCATTTAGCATTCCAAAGGGGGGAAACTTATCCGCACATAGGCATTGCGTGGGGGGAGGTACTCCACCATGGAGCACTTCCCTTCGGAGGAAGGGAGTCTTTCTTATGGGTGATCCCATGTGTGCCTCAAAGAGGTGCTTAAAAGGGGTTCTTAAAAAAGGCACTTAAAAGAGCCGCTTCAAAAAGGCACTTAAAAGAGCCGCTTCAAAAAGGTACTTAAAAGAGCCGCTCCAAAAAGGTGCTTAAAAGAAGCTTCCGTCCTCCATGCCCACATGTATAAAACGTATTGGAAGATGGTTCTCACGTAATTGGAACATCTCTTTCTCCCGTGACGTCTAGACAGTCGTGTCGGTTGAGCTGATTAGTGCGTGTCTTCCCTCGAATGACTCACCGAGGCCACGGCGCCATCAAGTCGCATCGGAGGGTGTGACGCAATCAAGTCGCATCGGAGGGTGTGACGCAATCAAGTCGCTTTGGGGGGTGCAACGCTATCGCCACTGAGTGGGTAACACGCAAAGTCGGATAAGAAGATCGCACAACACATGTTTCACTGCGCAGAGGAGGACCTTATTTTGACTATACATGGCTACTTCTCCCGTTTGTGGATAATGCGGCATAGGGTAAAGCGGATAAGACCCTTCCCAAGGTGTGTTCCCCCTTTAAACCGATCTCCACACCTTAATGTGCACCCCTTTGACATCATTCCATTCGTGTGTAGCGCTTGCCGCTCTGATTAACCAATACAACTATATGCACATGTGTGCTTCCCCTTTTTTTATTTAGTGGCATGGTGCAGGATTGTACTAATTTTGTGCCAAGGGGAAAAAAGAAAAAAAAAAAGAAAAAAATAAAAGAAAAAAATAAAAGAAAAAAAAAAATCCCTGTGCATATTGCAAAAATCTGCACAACTGAGAGGCAATTCCTCAGTGAGTATTGTTCTAAAAGGGGAAAGCAAAAATGGGACTCCACCTGCACTCACCCCGTTGAGGAGATCTCCTAAGTTGAGGGATGCTTTTGTAGGGGCTTCCCCTTTTATAAGCGACGCATGCGCAGAGTGCGCTGCCTATCATATGACTGCATTTCTCCCATTTTTAATTCCCCATCCGAAGGTGAAAAAAGAAAAAAAAAAAAAAAAGAAAAAAAAAAACAAGATCTTATAACTGTCCCTTTAGCGACTTAAACGGTGTAGTAACAAAGGCACATACCTAGGTACACCTACTTTCGTAGGGGTAAATATAATCACGGTAAGAAGCTCCCCCTGCGCGTATACTCTGCCCTTGTCCCTGTATGAACGTCGGGACGTACCCGTTTTGGCGGCACGCAGGAATCTCTCTTCCACACCGGGCTCAAGGCAAGCTTTCCGTGGCACAGAAAAAAAAGTACATGCCCATAAAACGTTTCTACGGAGAGGAAGCTATGCAAACGTCGAAGGGGTGCATGGGTGCAGGGATGTATCTATGTAGTGCTGTATCGATGTAGCCATGTAGGGATGTAGGCACACGTTAAGGAGGTGCACGCCAAGCAGGGAGGCAAGAGAAAGTGCCACATACTTTACTCACCATACGTAGCTCCTGCCCCCCTGGGCGCAATAAATTATTTCAGCGCGAGAGGAGCAAACTCCAGAGGCTATTCCCAGTGAGGCTTTTTACTGAAATGAAAGCGCAGTTTCGATTGGAAGCTTGGATTGGCACGTTTGCCTTAAGCAGTTTTGCTCGATTGGCTTCACCTGCGTAGCTTCACCTGCGTAGCTTCACTGCGCAGTTTCTCGTGCCTTGTTCGCCTTCTTTTGCTAGGCCTGTAACATTTTGTAAGCGGAGGCTTTCTCGCTCAGCTAAGTAGCGTACCTAGCGCATTATACCTGTTTCTTACTTTTCTGTGCTCACACCTACGTTTGGGATTTTTTGCCTTCACTGACTTTTCTTACTCTGCTGACTGTATGGCCTTCACCGCCGTCACTACCTACTCTGTCGTCAGTACCTTCACTGCCTTGACTGCCTCCACTCCCCTTTTTTGCCTTTTATAGCGCTTCCCCCGCATGAGTGACGCGCGTTCGACGCCTCCCATACGAGTACTTCTCCGCAGCAGCACACGTTGTGACTGCCCGTGCTTAGCTTATCTTTGCGCGTGGGGTGGTGAAGCGGCGGCGAAGCGGCGGCAGGAGCGGTCGAGAAGCGACGCCCGTAGGCGCGAATTATCCTCTCCCCAACTGTTTCGTAAGGGCGTTGTAACGGCGTCATAACCGCTTCGTAACCGCTTCACCGCTTCGTAACCGCTCCACCGCTTCTCCTCTTGGCCACCACGGTGCCGGTACGATGCTGGAGGCGCCGGCCGTCGGAGAGAAGCCGGGGGAGGCACAGCCCGGCGGAGAGAAGAAGGAGGAGGTGCAGTCGATCTCGAAATACCTGCGAAGCCTTTACGGAAATGGCGTGGCGAACAAGAAGGAAGTGATGAAGCACCTGAGGAGGCGCCTGTACAATGATCCCAAGGTGGAACATATATACAAAAAATTAAAAGAGATTCATGGGAACAGCGGTATCTGCACGGAACAATGGAAGGAGGGCAGTTTCGCATTTAAGTGTTATAACTGTGAGGGAGATCCTACCTGTGCCATCTGCGCAAAGTGCTTCTTCGGGTCCAATCACAAGAATCACGTATACAGATTGACGCACACAAGTGGAGGATGTTGTGATTGTGGGGATACTTCCTGGAATATAAAGGGAGCTTGTTTTGATCACCGAGGGATGGATCAACAATACTTAGTAGATAAATGCATCCTAAAAGGAGAGATAAAAAATAGGATTAATGACGATTTGGACAGTCTAATCGGGTCACTATTTAAAGAAATCATTCTGAAAGATGGATACTTCCTCTCTTTATCGAATGCCCAATATATAGAATACGCACTGGACTTTTTTAAAGACCTAGGTATCACGAGTTACCTCTTCCGACAAATCATCTGCAATGTGTTGTCAGCAGCCAAGGTAGATTATTTGATTAACCTCCATTATTGCTTCTACACCGCAGTGCAGAGAGTTCTATACTCACTTTACCTGTCCCTTTTTGTGCATCCCTACTTCAAGCAGAGGTTTGCCTTCAAATTGTGCAGATATTACAGTCTTGTCGTTCGGGTTTTAGATACCACATCGTATAACGACAATAACTTCCTTAACGGACTGACAGTACAAGTCTTGACTGTCCCAGAGATTGCTTACACTTTAGTTGTAAACAACTTTTTGAATGACCTCATAGAACTCATTGAAGAATTTTGTGTGTATAGTCCTACTAGCAAGTGCATTATGTTTAAGAATCTACTACGCTCCGATATAGAGGTGATTATCCGAATCTGTGTCGACATGAAATATCTCCTTTATCACAATGATGTCATTAAGATTGTTCTCTTCAATAAATATATCATTAGGAAGATCCTCCACCTCCTATCCTTACTACATCAGATGAATGCTCAAATGAGACACATCAAGTCACATATCATTTATGAAGATCTTTCCAGCTCCTATGCCATCACCGTTGAGAACTACCTCCTTCGTGTGTTTGAGCCTTTAGCTAATTTTTGCAAAAGAGAAGCCAATGCCAATTTTAGAAATCTCTTCTTGTTGTATCAGCTTACCATAGAGAGTATTTGCTCTCTAAATCTGTTCCCCTTCTCGGGAGACTCTTCTGCGAGTAACGCGGGTGGGGTGCGCCCCAAGCGGAGAATCAAACGGGATCGCTCCTTCTTCCGGGTTAAGAAGTGCGTCCTGTCCGCTTCCCAACGGGCTGACCCCCAGAGCGACACGCGGGATGAGGGGCACGTCGGTGGCGTTGAAGTTAGCGGTGCGATTGGTGACGTTGCTAACAGCGTGCATGGCGGTGCAAACGACGCAACGAACTCCACCGCGAACACCACCGCGAACTCCACCGCGAACTCCACCGCGAATTCCACCGCGAAATCCACCGCGAACTCCACCGCGAAATCCACCGCGAAACCCAGCACGAAACCCAGCACGAAACCCAGCACGAAACCCAGCACGAAACCCAGCACGAAACCCAGCACGAAACCCAGCACGAAACCCAGCACGAAACCCACCGCTAACCCCAAGCAGCAACAACCGCGCAGACGACCCAAGCACCTACGCTCCCTACACTCGCCGCTCGTCCGCTTCTTCGTCATGATTCTTAACTTCGATGTGGTGAAGAAGTGCCTCGACGATGTGTACTGGTACAAGTACATTTACCTGAGGAGGTCGCAAAGGAAGCGAGACAAACTGGACACCTCGTCGGGGGATGCGCCAGAAAGTGCGGCCCAGCGCCCCCTCATCGTACGCGCCTTCCTCAACGATTTCTACTCCGTGGAGAGAACGCCCCCAGAAACGCTGCGCAAAAGGAAAGACATCCAACAAAGGTACGAGGACGACGGGAATAAGATAAAGATGAAGCTCTTTCATCGGAAGCCCTTTCTAAACGATCTCGAGGAAATACAAAATGAAAAGACGAGAACCTATCTCACAGAGCTGAAAGACCTGGAGGAGAAACACTTTAAGTGGGTCATTCAAAGCCTCGATTCGAAGGAGAAGGAAGAAGACGACAAAATTATGTATATAAAGAGTATTCAAGAAAAGAAGGTCAAAGTGAAATGCAAAAATGATCTCATCGAAAAAAAAATAAAAAAAAAAGAGATAGAATTTAATGAGTTCCTAGAAATAGACTTTCGCCAAAACAGGAGAGACATCTACCTGAACCGATTATACATCGACTTGTACATGCGGGACGTCTTCGATTTTCTCAATCTCTTCAATTTGAAGCTCCTAAAGTTTATCCTCTTTATCAATGTGCACGTCTTAACCTTCGTTTATGAGATAAAATACGGGTACTGGGTTCGCAACGGACCACAGATGACCTTCCAGGTGAGCGAATATGAAAGCTCTTTCTTCTTCCAGAGTGACTTGATAGGAATCCAGTTCGCTATGATCATGATGAATGTCCTTCCCATATATGAGAATCAGACAGTTAGCATTGACCAGGGGACACTAAGGATGATGAGGAAAATGTTTTGTAAGTACATTGGCTGTAGGGGGACTTCCAACGATACAAGTGTTCCCACCGACTCGGTGCATGGCTTCATCGCCTCGGGAAGCGACAGCAACCACAGCAGCCCGGACGGGGGAGAGCTCAAAGAGGAGAAGTTTCCCACGCAGGGAGAGCCCCTCCTGTGCGGTCATATAGAGAAAGCAATAGAGGGGGGGGCACATGTGAAAGCTGGGGTAAGCCACCATATTTCGGACCATGATGAGGGTCTCCTCGCGGAGGAACAGAACCTGATATATGACAAGAAGGAGATTCAGAGGGGAGAAAGGGAAGGAGTCAGCACAGTGTGCGCAGGGGAGCCGTCTGCGCACCACCCTTCTGCAGGGGACCCTTGTCGAGACGCCCCTTCCGGAGACGCCCCAGGGGAGTGCACATACCGGAGGCAGAGCGATCTAACCAAGGTCATCAGCGAAAAGCACCAAATCGACTTCGACTCCGTGTACAGCTTCTTCTCAAGCTACGCGCTTCGACACGCAGGGAAGGAACCCCCCGTAGTGGAGGACGCCAAGGAGAAGAAACCCTCTACTAGTGCCCCGCACAAGCAGAAGTGGAACGACTATGTGAGGCTCTTCATAGAGGAAAAAATAACGAACCCATTTGTGATCCTCTACCAGTTGATTTTTAAAAAATTCCGATTTAACCTGAAGGTGAGAAATGAGCAGGATATCTACATGGAGCTTCAAATCCATCACTTCAAACTAGTGCACCGTCTTTTTGAAGACATCTACACAGGGAAGCAAAACATAGATTCTAGAAAAATCGATGACGTGTTTTATTTTCAATTGTTTTACGATCTCCTAGTGAGGATATTCAACGAACTGTATTACTTCGAATTTAGTAACATCCCAAGGAAGACTTCCCACGAGAAATATAAGACGAGAGGAAAATACTTTGTTAAGAAGATACTAATACAACTTTTGGCCTCTAAAGATTTCCAGTACTTCCAGCTGGAGGATGAGTTTCCTAAACAATTCAGACATCATCCCAGTTTCTATGAGCTGACAAACAAGTATGGCTACACCATGCACATGCCTAGGAGTAATGTCAATCTCATCAAATTGAATAAGAACGCCTGGTTTCTTTATGATGCCTTTTGGCCCATTGCTAATCATAAGGACTTCCAATCAGCGAATGAGAAATGCATCAAGGAGGATAAATCTTCCTACATCGGTTGCTCTAGAGAAGAGGACAGGGAATACATGAATGCCTCCTTCGTTAAGGTGCAGAACCTGCTGTTTTACGCCTTCAAGCGGAGCTGCCTCGTCCCCATGCTGATTGCCATCTTTGTGGTTAATGAGGATTTACAGCGCAGGGCGGAGGAAGGCGGCGATCAAGGGGATGGCGGCCAACGCGACGAACGCGGCCAAGGCGGTCAACCCGGCCAAGGCGGCACAAATAGTGCTGCCTGTGATGATCCCGCTGCCATTCCCCATAGAACTTCCAATAACGGTGCCGATCCCGCAAACGTGGACGCGGAGGCCGACGCACAGGGCAACGGGGAGAACGCCGAGAATGAGGATAATGCCGACAACGCGGAGGATGAGGACGTCACCCCCGAGGCCTTCGTCCTGAACGACGTCGACCTGTACAATTTACTCAGCCAAGGAGGTAACGCTACTGGGGAGGAGGAGCAGGAGAGTGGAGAGGGGATGAACGAAGAAGCACAGGTGGGAGAATCAGAAGAAGCATCCCCTGCAGGAGCCCAAAGCGGTCTAACGAACGCCAACACGCAGGAGAGCGAACCCCACACAGGCACCACCAACGACAACGCGATGGCCAACGCAAGCACCACCACCGCCAGGCGCCGAAACAACAATACCTACATTATTGTAGACGATAATGGAGAAAACGAAACTGTCTTCGCAGAAATATTAATCAGTCGGAACCTGCGCAACTCCATAAACATGGAGATCGTGAACGTGACGGATACTCACGTGGGACAGGGAGAGACAAACAGGAACTACAGACAGCTGAATGCGGAGGGACTCTCCGAAATCATTAGTGACATTATCAGCGAAAATAATATCATCAATAATGTCATCGTAGAGTCCATTCTCGAGAACAGAACAGGAATGAGGTATCTCAACCAAGTGAGGGAGAGAGGAGGCACAGGTATGGATGACGGCGTCTCCATGGAGGACGACACATCGAGTGACGAATTAAATGTGGCTTCCATCCAATCGGAGAACCCTTTAGGGATAAACTTGTCCGGTAGGGGAGGAGGTAGTAGTGGTGGCCAGGGGCTGCCATCTGGACGTTCCTTTCCTTCCACCCCCAGTAACAGCAGCCTCAATAACACCATCGATATTTTTATTAAGATCATTAAGTTGCTCAGCATCATCATGGATGCGTCCCATCCGTTTAAGTACCTCAACGGGTTCTACTACTCCAACTTTGGGTCGTTGGGCGGCGAGTGGGATGACCACTGGGATGGCCACTCGGAAGGCCACTCAGATGAGCACTCGGATGGTCAGTTTGATGCCTATCCGGACAACTTCTGCCTGGAGGACGCCCATCTGGACAGCTTCCGCGTGGAGGCCCATTCCAGCCCGAGGGGGGACTGTCACGCCGAGGCGGGCACAGCAGACGAGTGTGAAAAGCGACTCGAGGGGGGAGGCGGCGAGGAAAGAAGCGGCGAAAGAAGCGTCGAAAGCGGCCCTGTGAAGGAAAGCCTTACCCCTGAAGAGGAGCCCCAGGCGAGGAACCACCCTCCTTGTGATAGGGTCAACAAGGGATCCAACCCAGGTGAGCAGAACTCCACTGTAGTAGAAGCGACAGAGGAGAAGGAAACAAGAGGTGCACCATCTTGCGAAATGGCCAAGAAAATACTCTCCAAAGGAGCCAGTCCTCCCAACGAGCAAACACTTATCTTTGATGAAATACATGTGCTGAAGAGGAGGCAGAAGGAAAAGAAGCAAACGGAGCAGATGGAGCAGACGGGGCAGACAAAGCAAACGAAGCAAACGTACGCACTGAACAAAGTAGCCGTGCATAACCTGATGAGGAGCTTGAGCAACATCAACTCGAACGAAGACAAGTGTTTCCAGAAAGTGAGGAACACCATAATTGAGCGGATGAAGGAGCTGCTCTCTGAGAGCTATGACTGTAAAAATGTCAGCAACAACAATCAATTTATTGAAGTCGCGAAGAAGAGGCAGCAGGATCTTCTCAAAATGATGAAAGATCAGCAACTCAAATTTAGCCAATTTTTGGAGGAAGAGCTGGACTCGGACGAGGACATCTTCGGCGAGGCGACAGGCGAGGCGGCAGACGGAGGGGCAGGCCAAGGGGAAGGCGAACCTAGTGCAGACCCCGCCGCGGATCCCGCCGCTGCACTGGAGGGAAGAGGCACCAGGAGAGACAAACCGGAAGACACCGACCATGCGGAAGATGTGGCCAACTGCGAATATGAAAGGTCCAAGGAGAAAAATTGCATCTGTGTACTCTGCAAAGAGGGCATGACTAGGAACAACCTGCTGGCCTACATCTGCTTCGCGTCCCATTCGAATCTGTTGAAGAAAATTATAAAAAAAAACAAAGTTGCCTTCCCGTGTAAACATCCAGCCATATACACCTGTGGCCACTTCATTCATATGACGTGTCTCCACAACACAAAAGTGTTTTTGACAAGAAACTCCCAATCGCAATCGTCGACTCCGACTAAGTATGAGTTTACCTGTCCTCTGTGTCGGTCCATCGCCAACTGCTTCGTCGTTTATATTCCCAAGCGGTATGTTTCTGAAGGGGACAGTTACAGGATTTATGACTGTAGCGAGCGTGAGTTGCTTCTGGACCCTTCGAATAGGAACTTGGCTGACCTTCTCAGGAGGACCAGCAGGCTGGAGGAGCTGCGTGGGGAGCGCCGTGACGATCTGAATGACGAGCAGCACACAGCGATACTGAGGGATACGGACCAGACGGGAACTTCAAGCCGAGTGGAAACCTCAAACGGAGGGGAAAACTCCCACGGAGCCCTGGTCAGTAGCACGGACGAGCACGAAATGGATTACAACTCAGAGATCGCCTCCGATCGATCCTTCTCCTCATCGACGTCGTCCAATGGAGCCCTCGACAGTGACATCCCGGAAGAGTTCCATTTCAAGTATATTCGGAAAGGAAAGAAGAATGGCTCCAAGGATAAGGCGAAATTTTTTACAGACGAGAAGAAAGAGTTTGTCCCGAACACCTCCAGCCAAAATGTCACATACAACCTGTACGATGAGAACAAAATCGGTGATATGTTTAATGTTCGTTTTAGAAAGTTGCTCAGTGGACGGGTTCTAAATGGGTTCTTGTCATACGAAAATTACGAGCTGAACAAGAAAATCATTCTGAGGGAGATTTACCTCAATGAGGGTGGCATGTACGACGAGCTCTACCACAAGGGGGACGATTCACACCTCTCCTCATCGGGGGGAAGCAGCGCACAGGTGGCCACTACACAGGAGGAGGGTACACCACTCAGCAGAAGTGGCACCGAGCTACACCTCCACAAGAACACACTCAACTATGGAAACGAAGAGTTCACTTTCTCATACAAAAATTCAAACTTCTTCTACACTTACCGAAATGGCTTTCTGGCCTACTATGTGAGTGTTCCCCTGAAGTATATAAGGCAGGTGGAGTTTTTCATGGTCAGGGATAATCACTTGGCCCAATCGTCTCCATCCGAGTGCAAACAATTTTATTTCACCGCGCGGATTGAGAAGACGGAGGAAGGGAAGAAGGCAGTGGAAGATGAAAATAACGAACTGCTGGATCTTAAAGAGGAAGGTGGGACAAAGGAAAACGTGGAGGTGATCTTAAAATACCACATGGATAAGACTCTCCTAGAGTTTATAAAAAATAATTTGAAGAATGAAGGGTCCAATATTGAAGAAGCCATTCAGAAGTACGAACTGCCGTTCAGTAATCATAGCAGCTCATCGAATGGGCCGTTAATTCAACCAAAGGAGGAGATGCCAGGTGATTGCAATCATTACAGTGATTACAGTGACCATCAGATGGAGAAGAGGCCAAAGATTGACTCGGAAAGCAGTACAAAATGGGATGGTAAGTCGATGCATGGTGCATTACCAGAATATGTCCCTTGCGTCGGTGCACGGAGTAGCGAGGTCAACATGGGTGCTACCAAGCAAGAGGATAAGAAGGGCGACGGAAATGGGGCACTGCACACGGGCCAGATCCCCTCCAGTGACGCGAATGTTTCTTCAAATCTGGATGAGGACATCTCCAGAAGTGTTGATCTCCCACTTGGCAAGGCACCCGAACCAGCGCTGGAATCAAAGAGTGATGGAATTGGCGCCTCTCTTGGGAAAGAAAGGACGAAGGACAGGTGCCTGAAGAGAAGAAGTGAGAGAAGCACGAGCAGAAGGATGCTCTCCGGAGAGACAGAAGAGGACACGAACGGCAACATCAGCAGCAACGGAAACCGCAGCAACCAAAACAGTAACGTGGGTAGAGCGAGACAACGAAATGGGGACGACACGGAAGAGGGTGAAAAGGACAACGGCCACGCGCCAAATGCACCAAAATTCCAGTATCGGTGCACAGAAAAGTATTTTAAAAGGCATAACACGTATAGGAGACACCTAAATGTTGGGAGAAGCTGGGATGGAATCATAAGTACCAACAAGAGATACTACGCGCTGTACAAAGATACCCTACACAAACAGAAGCTGGAACCAATGTTTGACATGAAAGCGCTGAGGATGTCCATGATTCAGTTGGGACTCATGACGGAAACGTCCTGGAGAATCTTCCACCACAACAATAGTACGTTCTCCACGCTACAGACTCATTCAAGGCATTATAAGAAGCTAATCGATTTTGAGTATAACCACAAGAACCAGGACCACTATGAAGACATCGACATTGAAGAAGTGGGAGTGAAGGATCTTATGAGCATGTACGAGACGGTGGAGCTTTACCCGGATTTCCTCCAAGACTGGAAGTGTGTCGAGTTTGTAAACAGAGAGGAGATTCGCCGCCTTAGAAGGGAGGATTTATTTTTCATCAACCGAGGGTACTATGCGAGGTGCAAGCGGGAGCGACGAAGAGGAGGCGGAGCAGTCGATTTAGCAGGTGTCTCCCTCGGAGCAGAGGCGTCAGCGGGTGTCTCGTCAAATGTATTGGCCACCGCGATACTAAACGTGGTGTCCAACGTAGTAGGGAACGCTTCACCTATGGGAGAGTCGAGCGATCTCGGCGCGAACACCCTCGTAAGACAAACTGAATGGAAGAAGAAGAAAAAAAAAGAAAAAAAAAAAAGAAAATGCGATATTTTGAATATCAAATTCTGGAGAAACATCAACACTGCTATAGACATGGACAAGCTGCACTGGATACTCTACAACGAAATATTGGTTCACTTGTTTTACAAGAATATTAATTACGTCTCGTGTAACAACCTTATCGAAACACTGGTGCGTAACTTGTTCCTTCACAAGCACCAGTTAAACATCGTAAAGGAAAGAAAAATCGCCAACCTGTTAAACCTACAGCTGTGGAAAAATCTCTACAACGTCTCATTCGATTATGTGTACCCCTATCGATTCACCGATCATAATTACAAACGTTTTTTCAACAAGATAAAAAATGCACACGTGCTAAATAAGCTAGCCATGGTTCCACTTTCCGTGGACGTTTTGAGACTCTTCATGCATTTCTTCCTGAACCAGCTGCTCCACACCCAAGCCCACATCCAGCACTTTATCTCCATTTCGCTCATCATTATCAGCTTCCAAGTTATGAATGAAGTGTTCATAAGAGAAATCTCCAAGTCCTACGTCCGATACATTTTTTCATCATTTTCACCTGAACAAGTCAGGCAAAACTTTGAAAATATAGCCAAGTATGTTTGTGTCAATTTGGAGGAAGGAACTTATCCCATGAAGGGAAAAAGCAGCACATGTCGAGATAAAGGAGATTCCATCTCGGATTACCAAAATTGTGTTAACCCACCACCCTCCATCAAACGAAACGATGACGAGAATGACCACACAGAAAAGTTTGATGACGAAGGGAAGATACAGTACCAGATGTTTCATACATTCATATTTGACTGCTTCGTCGATAAGAACGTTGCGAGTGAAAATGGCCAGGGGAATCCTCCTCAGAAGGGGGACCCACCAAATGAGCCACCAAATCAGCTGCCAAGTGAGCTACCAAATCAGCTGCCAAGTGATCTACCACGTGATCTACCAAATGATCTACCACGTGATCAACCAAGTGATCTACCACGTGATCAACCAAGTGACCTACCAAATGACCACCCAAACGTAAAACACCCCTCTGGTAGCGCCGCTAGCAGGGGACAAGAGCCACCACGTCAGAAAAGGGACAAATCGATGGACAGCCTAAATCCCATGAAGCTCTTCCAAAACGTGAAGAAACTGTCGTATAATTTTAACCAAGAAGAGATAAAACTGCTAAAGGACTGTATCCAGCAAAGTGATATCCTTATGGATTGCCAAACAGACAGTGATCACTTCACACGTGAAAGAAGTTCCATCCATAGGAAGGACGAGAAAGTCGAAAAATCGCCTGAACAGGCAAGGCGAAAAATAAGACACACATGGGAGGGGACAACACAAACAGGAGATAACCATTCCGGTGAGTTAGAAAAAACTGAGCAGGATGAAACGAATAGAAAAAAAAAAAAACTGTTCATTTTGCATGAGACGATGAAGAAGCTAGTGCAGATTAACGAATTTAAGAAGAAAACAAAAAAGATTATGCTCCTCTTGTGTGAAGTTAACGACGAATATATGAAACATGTGTACTGTAATGGGTACATGCCCATAAATATATTCTTAAGTACGAACTTTACCAAGTATGAGCAATTTTTCAATAACTACTATCCATTTGTATACAACAGAAGGAGGAACTCCAAGTGGGGATCCTTCCATGTGCTATATGAGAATAGCCTTCGTCGTGCCAGGGAGAGCAAGAAGGGGCCCCTCGTGAAGAACAAAACGGTGATGAAGAGGGACTATAATTACTTGGCCAGTGGCAGCAGCGGTGGTGGAAGTGGTCAAAGTGGCCGAAGTGGTGGAGCGAAGGAGGCGGGCAGTGAGACCCCCCATGGTGGAGCAGCACCCAGTGGAGGAGCAACCCATTTGGTAGGAGCGAACGGACAGGCGGACGTAGACACGGTGGAGAACGAGGCGGGGCAATACTCATATAAGAGCCACCCAGGCTGCGCGAGCACCTACAAGAGAGACATCTTCGAAGAACAGGAGGTGCTTCCCAAATCGGTAGGAAGTGGGACTGGCAATGCAGTACAGCAAGGCGTAGCAGACCAGAGCGTAGCAGATGACAGCGCATTGATGAGTAGCTCCCGAGAAGGCCTCTTAACCACGGCCAAGTTACACACCACCCGACCCAGCGAGGATACTGACGAGTCTCATTTGCCAAACGAGCTGAATCTCTTTAAGTACAAACTATACAACATATCCAATGAAGAAATCAGCAACCTTTACCTGACGAACGACACACAAGAGGGTACCTTCGACCGTACCTTGAACAACCACGATTTTGAATTCAGACACGTGAATTTAGTGAGTCAACTTAGATGCAAATTTGAAAGAGTGCCTTACGTGAATCACTTGTTTTATATGTACAATGTGTATCAGAACCTGTTCAGTCTGAAGGTAATTAAGGGCATCCATGATATGAGGGAGAGAGAGGTAAACATTTTCTCCGAGCAGTTTCTCCTCGCTCGAGTAGGTGACGACATTGCAGATGGGGTTCCAGCCGAAGTGAACTTCTCCGACGCAAGCTTCGACAGCAATGAGTCCATCCATGTTTCAGATCGGGAGTGCACCAGTCAGAAGTGCAAAGGGGAGAAGTGCAAAGGGGAGAAGTGCAAACGTGAGAATTGCATAAATGAGACGTGCCACAAGTGTGACGAGGAAGCCAGATACGATGAAGGTGGAGTGACAGGGGAGGAGGATGCTATGACCTCCTCCCTTGGAGTCCTCAACGATATCCTTGACGTAGGGGAACTAATCAAAGATATGAAGAAAAGTAAAAAGCGAAGGAGGAAGATCAAGAACAATAAGTGCGCAGATGATCTGTTTGTCAAATTCTTTAACAAATCGTTGAAGCTGAGGAATGGCCAGAGCAAAGGTCTAGATCGAAATGGGAAGAGGGGACCACCAACCCCCGGGGAAAGGAAATCTTCAGCCGACACCTCCTATTCTTCTGCCCTGGACAATCCTCTACAACATGACACAAAATCGGCGTCTCAACTGCTAAGTAGCGGACAAAAAGGGGCTCACAATCCCTCTGTCGACGTGTTCGTGGATCCCCATGATTTGAAACGGGTGGACATCTCTCAAGGGGTGCAGCAAGGCCGAGGGGGTACTATCAATCAAAACGGAGAAAACGTGCCAAGTGACCGCAGCGGTGAGTATGGAAGCTGTCAAGAGGACTACTCCCTTGGTGGGGATCGTTCAAACGGGGGAAGCAACAGCGGCAGGCCCCCTTCCTGCGAACCGTCCGCATGCGCTGCTCACTCCAACGCTTCTAACATGTCCAGCGCATCCAACAGCTCCAACGCTTCTAACCCCTCCGACGCTTCTAACACGTCCAGCGCTTCTAACCCCTCCGACTCTTCCTTCGACAGTCAGGGCAGCCTCGACTTCCGAAGCATGCACGATGAAAACCATTCCAGCAGTGACCTCGACAACACACTCTTCAGACGAAGGATACACGAGAGGAACAACCCCCCAGATTCATTCGTTGATTTTATGACAAGAAAAAAGTATGCCAATATAAACAATAAGTTAAAAAACTCCAAAATGGATTTCAACAAATATAAGCACGTGAACAAAATACAGAGGTATCATATGTTGCTCAAAGCTAATGGTCTGAATAAGACGTTCTTCTACAACATTAGGAAGATATACAGCTATGTGTATAATCTGTATGACTTTCTGCCGCTTTACTTGGTGCAGAATGTTCTTCTGCATTTCTACGGGGGTCAGAAGGAGGCCAAGAAGTACTACTATGCTGATGATCTCTGTGGTGGTGTCTTACCCCCCCCGGAGGATGGAGAGTACCAGTTTAGTAAATATTCCCAGTCTTTCTTTAGGACAAAGAAGTGGAGAAGGAAGTATGCCAAATATAGGGATCGAATTAATGGTTACCTTCCTCACGGCGAAGGCAAAGGCGCAGTGAGAAGTCATTGCCGCAGTGGACACGAGTCGGGCAAGGGGAAACCCACCCGGGAGGAAGCAGCCAAGGAAGTACGCGGAGAAGACGTTCAGAAAGATCCATCTGAGGGGGTCACAAATTTCAATTCCACACCAAGGGAAGTATCCGGAGAAGTGGCCAGAGAAGTTACCGGAGGAGTTACCGGAGGAGTTACCGGAGGAGTTACCGGAGAAGTTACCGGAGAAGTTACCGGAGAAGTTACCGGAGAAGTTACCGGAGACGTGCCCGGTGAGGCCAACCGCAGGGGAAGCGAAAAGGGCTCCAACGGCACCTCGTACGACGTCAACAAGAAGATAAAGACGCAGCACAGCAGTAGCGGCAAGTCGGACTCCATGAATAGTCTGTTCGGCGCGGCGGGCAAGGGGGGGTTAAGCGATTTGTGGAGCGGCTCCCAAAGCGGCATGGGAAATGGCATGGGAAGTGGGCTGCGATGCGGTGTGGAAAACTCCTCACCGAGTGATTTCTTCTCAGGTGCTGCCCCTAATCCACGGGGAAGCAAGGGGACCGCCCGGCGCTCATTCCATCCCACCGACCTGAACGGAGAGCACCTGCTAAGCGTGAAGAAAATCTTCTATATATTTTACCACTACCTCAAGAAGAACCATTTCATCGACGGGAAGAACCCGTGTAGCAAGATCTACAGGAGGTTCCTAAAGAATTACATCAAATCGGCAAACGTCTATCTCCACTTCGTAGCGTATATGTTATTTTCCATCTACGACTGCAATGCTTTGGCGAAGAAGTATCTAGACTATATCCACCTGCACAGCGACTTAGGGAAATATAACATTTTTCTCCTCATGCTTAATGTGAACCCCCAGTTCGATAAGATATACACGTACCCAACCCTACAGCTGATTTTTCATCCATACTTTTATCAGATGTATCAGATGTATAAGTATCTAAAAATAGATGCAGAACCCATTTTGCCTCACCATTTTTATGAGAACCTAGACAAGTTCATTTCTTCGACTTCTCTGTTCCAACCGAGTCGAAATTACTTCACTCTGATTAAGAGGTACTTCAAGACAAAGTGTGTTAATTGTAGCAGACCTCCTATGATCATCCTCATTTGTCTGTTTTGTGGATCCACCATATGTCTTCAAGAAAGCGACAATGTGCGTCTGCCCCTTTCCGAGTCTATTGGGAAGTGCGGCTACCACACCACTATCTGCGGCGGGGATCAGGCCCTGTACCTGTGTCTCAACGTCTCATCGGTAAGGAGGGAGAGGCGGAGCGGTGGAGCTGCAAAGCGGCAAAGCGGAACGGCCAAAAGAGACGTCGAATCAGAATGGCAAAGCGCAACGGCCACCGTTTGCTCATCCCGACTTGACTGCTTCCACTTGCACCTCATTGCACTTCTCCTTTCACTTTCCCTTCCCCACCCCCTTAGGTCCTCTTCGCCAGCGAGCATCGATTCGGCCTCATCAGCGGACCTTACGTTGACAAAAACGGAGACGTCGACCCGCGACTCAAGCGCGGAAAGAACCTCTACCTCTCTCCTCACAAGATGAACCGCATATACGAGATCATAGTGAACTCGGCAGTCGGTAATAATCAGCAGCCGGCGGAGCGGCCCGTCCCTGAAGCGAACCCCGGGGGGGATGGGCATGCCTGTGTTCTGCACTCGAATCGACACGATTCCCGCATCTCTCATGTGCCATCTCCATTTCGCCTCATTATTCCTTATGTTCATTTCTTCCCTCGTGCAGACGTCGAGATCTACAAACAAACGCAGAAGGCCGATTGAAGGTCTCTGGACTCCTCCCATTCGGCCAACCCGGGCACCTTGTCCCACAGGCCCATTTGAGGCAGGGGACGAGGAAGTAACCGCCCTTTTCCCTTACTTTTACCCCGCCATTTTGGAATCACTCCGTTGAGTGTTTTTTACGTGCCGAAAATGTTGTCGTTCATGTCTCCTTTTTTCCTCCACGTGGAACACTTTAAACGCTGTTTTTTCGAACCTTTTAAATGGGGCTCTCTCTCCCCCTGGTGCGTCACCTGATGGGTTCCACTGCTCGAGAAGAGCCACGCATGGGTGAAGTTGTCGTGATGGATGGGTCTATCGTTGTATGGGTGTACCGTTGTATGGGTGTACCGTTGTATGGGTGTATCGTTGTATTGGTGTATCGTTGTATGGCTCTATCTCTGTATGGATGTACCGCTGCATATGCGCGTGCATGCGGAATGGCGCATGACCCCTTTCACGAGGTGGGGCGTTATCTTTTGTGGGCCCCTCCCCTTGTTGCGGCGAATGATGGGTGTGCGAAGGGGTAGCGGCGTTTTTATTTTTATTTTATTTTTTTTCTTCCTCCTCCTCTAAAGATCCTCGAATTGCCAAATTGGCTGCTACCCCAGCAGCACCTCCAGAAGGCATTTCTAATTTCTCCTGTGCTGTGTTACTCCTTTCACTTACACGAACGAGAGAGAGGGGTCATGGCGAAAGAGATATTCACCCTCGATGGGGGTAAAATATCAGAGTTCGAACGGCTAGGCATGAGCAACTTTGACTTCCTGTCCTGTCATGACGAGGGGAACAAAGAAGAGATGGTAACCACGTTGGAGAATATTCACTTGAGTTACCTCCTGGCAGGGTGCAACGTGATAAGTACGAACACGTTCCAAGTCAACCTACACAGTTTGCGGGAAAGAGGCATTTGTATAGAGGAGGGAGAAAGCATAATCGACACCTATATCGACATTGCCCATAATGCTTTGCTAAAATATGAATGCATAAAAGGGACAGAGGATTTCCCCCTCCTCGGGGGGACACAGAAGGAGGAGTCTTCTCCTTATGAACATCTGGAATGCTTCCAGAAGAGGAGAAACCATTTGGGAATCGTTCACCCGAACGATTCTGTTAATACGAGACAGTACGTCGACAGCTTCGATTTGAAAGGGGGCAGGTGGACGGGCAGCGCCATCAGGAGATGCCAGGATTGTTATGTGGCCTTTTCCACTGGGGGCTACAGCTCGGCCTTCGGCGATTTTAGCGAATACTCTGGGGTGATGCGCAAGGGGGGGAAGGAAACCAATTCGGGCGATGCGGAAAATGGAACGAACTCAGGGGACCAGGCGGAAGTGGTTCATTCGGGAAGCGGCACTCCGGGAAGCGTCACTCCGGGAAGCGGCACTCCGGGAAGCGGCACTCAACTGGGTAACGCTTCGACAAGACACAGGTCGCATACCCAACGGTACGATATCATAATAAACACGCCCCTCCAGGTGGGAGGCTCCCCCCTGAACCGACAAAGCAAACTACCACGCATAGAAATGATCCCCGTGACCAGCACAGAAACGAGTAGACCCCCGAGGGACGCCTTCCCCAACAGACATTTCTTTAACTACGGGCTGGAATACTACATAAACGTAGGAGACGAAGAGATTATATCCAATTGCAAGTTCAAATTAGAATCATACAAACGGAACGAAGATAAGCTTCACTTATTTTCCCTAATCACGTCTTCGAACGTACGAGAGGTATTCACCCTTTATAGTCACTTAAAAACCTGTGCGAGTCATTTTAAAAACAACGTGGTGGTAAGTTTTTACTGCAACAATGATCGGCACATTGGCTGCTCAGATTACTCCTTCCTTGACATCGTGTTGGTCCTTTTGTATCTGGATTCTCGCCATCACTTTATTAAAGCCATCGGACTAAACTGCGTCAACATTGACTACGTGCGAGAGTTATTTGCTCCTCTGACGAGGTGCATTTCTTCCGATGGCTACATCGACGTGGAAGCTTATCCAAATAGAAGTGGAGAGCTAGGCCGATTAATCAAGACGATTTTAAGGGACTTAAAAAAAAACAGCTTTCTTGGGGACGTTCACTTCTTTGCCTCGCCGAACAAGTCCCTCAATCGAGTTACGTACGACTGCTCGAGACGTGACGTGCACTTCGAGACTACCCAGGAGAGACACAAACACGTGTACAATTATGTTGGCGACTGGCTCGACGTCGGTCTTACTGGCTTCGGCGGCTGCTGCTACTACAACCCGTACGACATTTCGCTTCTGGACTATAAGTTGGGCGAGCTGGCCCGGAGGCGGCCATGAGGAAGCAACAGTGACGAAGCGTCGGTGACGAAGCGCCGGTGACGAAGCGACGGTAACGAAGCAACGGTAACGAAGCAACGGTGAGGAAGAGACGGTGCTACCCCTCCTCATCGCTGTCCGTCATGTCGGAATCCGAACCGGAGAGCTGTCCCTCCTCTACAGGGCCGGTAATCGCACCTCCGCCAATCGCACTGCCCCCCGCGACTTCATGGGCAGTGGAGTCAGCTCCATAATGCAGCTTTCTGTAAAAAAGCTTATACATGTCTTCTTCCCCTTGGGCATTTTCAAACCGTCCCGTCTTCTCATTGAACCTATATTCGATTCCCTGGTTGGAGTTCCTCTTGGCTACCCACCTCGGGACAGTAAAGAGAGGCTTGTCCGTCTGCGTTTCTCCCTTGTATTGTAGCAACACCTCGTCACAGTCATAGACGTGCTTAAATTTGTCTTTGCAATACCAGGCACATAGGCATCGGTTGTAACTCGCTATGCAGTCGTGATTACATGTCCTACATTCCGGTCGATTGAAATCTTGACTCTGCTTCATCCGTTTTATGATGCGATTCTCGATTCTTCTGAGACCAACGCATAAGAGGAACCTGCCTCCGTTTCGCCAGTCTATAGGGTAGCGCGGCACGAGGCTGGCTGGGATCTGCTCGGGGGGTAAGCAGGCCAAATATGGATGCAAAACCTGTGAAGTGCTGGCCGCTCATGCACTTTCCACCGTACACTCCCTCCGGTAGAGCCGATGGACACACTTCACGGAGAGCCCCCTGCTTACCTTCGTCGTGGGATAAACGGGGTCATACAGCGATTTTCCATGCTGGTGATTTCCTGCGCGGGGGCAGCGGCGGGATGGAGCGATCGCGAAATCGTGAGGGTCGACAGATGGGTAATGAGATGGATGAACCGGTAGGCCCACACTACAGCACACAACCGTGCAGGTACTTATCCGCCTACTCACTTAACCTTCGGAGGAGGCACAATGTGAAAGGCAAACCTCCAGACGAATGCTCCACGTGTGAGAGTGCCCATTATTATTGTCCGTTTCGCACAGTGGGGCTTACGACGGAAGGGGGACCTCCTCTTCCTCCGCGTTTACCTCTATAGCCAATCGGCCTCCTTCCCGTTGGGGCCTTGGGCAGTTTGGCCTTAAGAATATCCAGCCCTCTCGCCATGACGGATTTATTTATTTAATGACTGATTGATCGATTTATGGACTGATTGATCGATTGGGGGGGAGGTCTGATCGGTGTGTGCGTGCCCCCTCCGCATACACTTCACGGTAGTGGACGAGGGGCTCTCCAACCCCATCTGAGTGACAGCAATTCTGGTGACTCCTTTCTGCAGTTGGGGGCATCCTCCAGCTGTTGACTTCGTTTGCGTCGCATCTGCTCATATCTGGTCCTATCTGCTTCTATCCGCTCCAATCTGATGGCTCCTTTTTTTACCCACTCTCCCGATCCGCGGCGTTCTTTTTACCGTACCGAGGTGAGGATTCTGTTGGGAGGGGGCAACTCATCGCAGGGATTCATTCCTGGAAGGACCTCTCTACTTATCGCAATGGAATGAAAAGATAAAAAAGCATTTAATTGTATGCACGCTTATAAAATGCGCATATATATCCTTCTTTACGTGCTTTCCCCTTTTTGCACGCATTTGGATGTCCTCACTGGTCCTGCTATATTCGCACCGCGGGTCGTCGTGACCCTCTTGGGACTGTGCCCCATTTAAATTAAACTGTCCGTTTGACCACACATCGTCGTTCTTTTTTCTCACCCCTCTTTTGCAAGATTTTCCCCAACGCGGAAAGTTACCTCTTTGCGAGTGTTCGCCATCCAAGTATGCACGCGGGAAGAAGGCAATCCTTGCGTATTTCAGAAAAAAAATAAAAAAAAAAAAAGAAGAAGAAAAAGAAAAATGACAAAAACAAACAAGTAGGCGAATGAGCAGAGGAGGCGGCTGTCCCTTTGAAGATGACCCGTGTGACTATTTTTCCCACGGCAGTGAAAATCATCGCAAGGAGTATTTTTCCCCCCCTGTGAAACTGCTTCCCCTCTGTACGCCCAGGACCATTTTCATTTAAACGCTGTCATACGGACGTACGTGTTTGTTGACAAAGGAGCTTAACGTACGAACGGAAACTCCTGCAAGAGGACAGCGTCGCCAGAGTGGCCCATGTCGCGCTTGACCAGGGAGCCGTCTCTTCGGGAACTCTCTTTGGGCAGTCTCTTCGCCTAGTCAGTGCTGTCCTCACAAAGAGAAAGGGGATGAAATAGCCACAACGGAGCAATAATTCAGTTTGCATTACTCCTGTGTGGTACTCCTCGGGGTCCCCTTCCATTCGATCGTAGTCATAAAAAGGGGACCTCCCTCCCGGACAAAAAAAAAAAAAAAAAAAAAAAAAAGAAAACATCATAGCTTACACCCCTCTGTTGGGAGTATGTAATTTTTTTTTTTTTTTCTTTATCACGTGATGGGATCTACTCGAAGGAGTGTCATTTTTCCCGACCAACCATACTCCGACGTTTGATCATACGCCTAGTTATCTTTTTTTGTTTTTTTTTTTCTTTATCACGTGATGGGATGCCTGAAGAGTTTTCCAGACACATCCATGTAGACCCATTTCGAAACAGAGGCCACTCCTTTGTAGCAGTGTGAATAGTACCATCCTGGGAAGGCACACTCACATTGATTGTCCGACTTGCTACCCGTGATGATCGTCCTGCCATGACGCGCTCCAGAGCAACCCCATATTAAACACGTCCATATAAGCACCTCCGTTAGACATATCATGAGTAGGGGATACGCTAACTTAAACGCTTTTATAGACAAAGACAAACAGGACAGATGGGCCAATAACAGAGAAGGAGGAGGGACACATAAGGACAGCAAAAGGATTAATCACCATGATCGTCACAAGAAAGATTCGTATATGTCAAATGAGAGAACTCACAAACATGGACATGTCTCCAGAGATTTGAGGAGTCAAGCTTCTACCAATGATCAGCACCTCTCCTTCGGCAGGGGCAGCAAGAGGGGAGACCATGATGAGGGCAAGAAGGGGCCCCAGCGGGATTTGAGGCCCCCTAGGGAGTGGCACAACCAGTCGGGAAGGAGCCGGAGCAGGTCACCCGTCAACGGTGGAAGTGTGTTGGGCAGCAGAGAGGACAACAAAGCAGACAACAAAGCGCATAGCAACGCGGACAACAGAGCGCATAGCAACGCGGACAGCCGAGCACACAGCAAAGCCCACAGCAGAGGGGACCACCGCGGTGACCACAGGGCTAACCGCAAAGATGACCCCAAAGTACACTCCAAACCACCCAAGTCCTCCCATCACCGTCACCACAAGGACGCGCATCGGCATCATCGCATAGACTCACACCGACATCACCGAAGAGACTCGCGCCGGCACTATCACCACCAGAAGGAGGTGGAAGCAAAAGAAAACTCATCAGGTGGTGGTCTCCTATGGAATTGCGTCAAGAGTGTCTGCTCCTCCTTCGCATCTGTCGTGAGGAAAAACATTTTTGCCTCCGAAAAGATCACAAATGACAGCGGGAGGGGAAAAATGATTTCCGACCTCTCGAGGCTTATAGACAAGAATGCACAGAGGAACAAACAGAAGGATTCATTGCAAGATGACCATTCGACTACACCCCTAAGTAGAAACCACATGGAAGCAGAGAAGCAAAAAATGAAAGCTGACTTGTCCATCTCAAGTAGGAACAACCATGTCGAAAGGAAGGATGCGAGAAAGGAAGAGGAGTTGCATGAACGAGGCAATAATCTACTTAAGAAAAATGATGAGAGAATGCCACGTCCGATGAAAAAAACAAAAAACCGATCATATGAATTTTCAGAGGATGATATGAAGAATCTATTTATGTTAGATGGTGAGGACAGGGGGGAAAGTCCCACGCAGGAGGATGCAAAGCGGGTGAACAGTGGTGACGGTCGCGATGCAAGGAGCGAACGCACTGAGTTCGTCCCAGAAACGGTTAAGAAGCACGATGTGGGAGGAGCCGCATCCGTGAAAGGAGAGGCATCCATGAGAGGAGAAGCATCCGTGAAAGGAGACACATCCGTGAAAGGAGACACATCCGTGAAGGGAGGGGTATCCGTGAAAGGAGACACATCCCTGAAAGGAGACACATCCGTGAAAGGAGGAGCATCCGTGAGAGGAGACGCATCCGTGAAAGGAGACACATCCCTGAAAGGAGGAGCATCTATGGGAGGGCCGCAATCAATTCCAAACATAGCGATAAACAACGGAAGCTTTAAGAAGGGTAGCCAAAGGGATGATTTAAACTCGAGAGGACGCCATGCGACCCATTCGTCTGAGGAGGAGCACACACTCAGTAGGCGCGGGGGTCTTAAGCCTGGTGAGGAGCCAAGGCAGAGGAGAAAGGGCAACCTCCTTCCCACTTCTGGCAGTAGCAACGGGAGCAGCGGCAGCAGTAGTGATGGCGATAGGGAAGCACTCCGAAACGGCCTCTACAAGGACAGCATTTTGAGGCAGCTTTTGCAAGAGAGCCAGGAACACAGCATGGAAGAGGGGGAGGAGTATAAAGAAGGGGGAGGCGAAGGGGGAGGCAAACCGAAGGGTAGACAACCCGCGGCGAGCAGAAAAACGAATGCACCCGGTGAAAACGGCTACATAAATCACGGGCAGGGAAAGACCCCCCTTCAAAATGGTACACACCAGCCGGGGGATCAAATATCCTCTCTGCAAAGTGAGAACGTGGAGAAGTTGTATTACAAACACATTTTTGAAGACTCCGACGAGAGAGAGAAGTCAATGGAGGATCCCGACGACAGCTGCGCCGATAGCTTTAAGAATATCTTTTACAATCGGAAGAAGAAGAAGAAGGGGAAGAAGAAGAGGAAGGAAAAACTGGCCTGCACGCCGCAAACGGAGCAAGCAACAAACGGAGCAGATGGAAAGGCGAAAAAGAGCGGCTCCGAGGTGGAAGAGGTGGACACAGGCGACGCACCCAACTCGGACGATGCCTCCAGCGTGGACGCCGCCTCCAGCTTGAACGCCGCCTCTAACCTCGACGCCCCTAGCCTGGACGCCGCTTCCCACTCGAAGAGCCAGGCGCACAAGCAGGCGCACTACTTCCGAAGCTACATCAAGAGCAGCGAGGAAATAAAGCAAATACGATTCGAGTTTAAGCAGCTAATCCAGACGATAGACTCCTTCATTGTGCAAAATTCAACCAATGAGGAAATCTTCGGCGCGAAAAATGTGGCTCAAGATTATGACCACAGCAGTGGAACGCAGAACTCGCACAAGAGAGAAAGCAAAAATGAAACGACCTACTTAGAGATGGACAAAGGGAACGACCAAGCAGATGGAGGATCTACAAATGAACCGTGCATGAGATTTATCGATGGTGTTACGTCGGAGGATAAAAGTGGATACGTAATACTTAAGAATGATGAGGAGTCCCTTATAGAGGCCCTGGAAAAGCTCAGAATTGAGAAGAGGAAGAAGGAGGAGGAGCAGGAGGCCAAGGAAAAGGACGCGAAGGTGATGAAACCCAAAGACAAAGAAGCAGATGACGAGGCAAATCGAATTGACAAAACAGATGAGGCAGGTATAATAGACGCAGGCATTTTCTTCAAGTGCATTAAAAAGGACCATTACGAAAAAGCAGCTCAGATACTACGACAGAGGGGAGAGAACAATGTCCTGATTGAGAAGTTTAATGTGCCTCTTTTGTATTCACAAATAAAATGTCTAATGGACACGAGGTGGCTAAACGACGAGGTCATTAACTTCTACATGAGTATGCTACAGGAACATAATGAGAAAAATATGAAGAAGGACAAGCCAAATAGCCATTTGCCCAAAATCTTCACTTTCAGCACTTTTTTTTTTCAATCCCTGAGCTCGAATGGGACGTACAACTACAGCAAGGTATCCAGGTGGACAAAGAGGAAAAAGGTCGACATCTTTTCCTTTGACTTAATTTTGATTCCTCTCCACGTCGGGGGGAACCACTGGACCCTGGGATCCATTAACATAAAGGAGAAAAAAATTAAACTATACGATTCTCTCAACATGTCCAATGCGAAGTTCTTTGATTACATGCGGCGCTACATCGTGGACGAGATGCGGGACAAGAAGCAGATGGAGCTGGACGTCTCTGCGTGGGAGTACAGCCGGGACGGCCGTTCGGAGGTGAGCCCCGTTTGAGAGAGGCCAGGCTGCACCCATGAGAGGTGGCCTCTTCTAAGCAGTCATCAGCTCTGCAGAAAAGTAATCACTTCTTCTGCGTAGTTATCCGCCCTGCTTCGCGGTTATTCCCCATGTTGCGGCTTCATCCCTCCCCCCTACAGGTCGGAATCCCCTGCCAAGAGAATGGCTACGACTGTGGCGTGTTCACCTGCATGTTCGCCAAGTGCCTGAGCTTTAACCGCCGCTTCGACTTCAGCCAAGGGGACATCAGAGAAATTCGAATGAAAATGGTGAGTCACGAGGGGGGGAGGCGCACTTCCTAGACATGCGTCCATACGCTCATACGTTTGGACGACTAGCCGCGCGGTGGTCACTAGGTGGATGGTGTCCCTCCTCGGCCGTCACTTGACTGATTAGTTGTCCACCCCCTCATTCGTTCGTTCGTCCGTCCGTTCCCTTGTTCCTCCCTTCCTTTTTTTCTCATTTCATTTCAATCCATCTCAATCCATTTCAATCCATTTCAATCCATTTCAATCCATTTCAATCCATTTCAATCCATTTTTTTTTTTTTCGCGCTCTTGCAGGTTTACGAAATATCGCAGGGATGTCTGATCTTTTAAGCGCCCCCGAGGTCGTTGCACAAGGGGGGACCCCGCACGGGAAGCTCCTACACCTGTTGCCTGTTCTCCCACTTGGCCGCATTACGGCCCATTTCTTTCTACCCTCTACTTTCTACTCTTTTTTTTTGTGTGTGTGTGCCCCTGCGTGAGAGGTGAAGCTGTATCGTTGACACGGCTGATGAACCCTGCACGTTGGAAGGCAGCCCCCGTCGTCAACGGCACAGCGTTCATCCTCGTTGCGCAACTTAGCTTTTCCATTTGTCCATAAAAGAGGTCACCGTTTGGGAAAAGTGAATGCTCCCTGCGCTCTCTTTCATGAAATTGCCTTTTTGGTGAAGCTATGACCTCCTTCATTTGATCGAAGTGATCACCACCTTCATTTGATCGAAGCGATCGCCGCTTCTTTTTTAATCTGTCATTTTAATTAAGGAACCAGGGAGATGTACGTTTGGGGGGATTCAAAAACGCCTGAACAGTTCATACGGGCATGTACATATAACGTCTTTGTGTGTGTATTTTTTTTTTTTTTTTGTTTGCGTAGTCCCAGCTAGCCATTGCATCGCAGGGTGAACGTCCAACTGGTCCCAACAACGAGGGGCAAATTCCCTCGCAGGGGGGACACAACGGAAGACACACCGCCACGCATTCGGTGCGTTACGAATGATGGATTATCAACTTCGTACCATTTGGAACTACTTCGTACCATTTGGCACTACTTCATACCATTTGAAACCACTTCCGACGACTTCAGAATGGCACCTGACCATTCAGGTGGAGACAAGACAGGTGAGCTATCTCCGTACCGTAGTCATACAATATTTGGTCCCTCCTCCGGTTCATGACTTCGTGCTCGAATATGCACCTCTGCAGGTTGTCGCTGAGGCGGGTCAGGTCCTGCGCGGGGGGGTGAAGAAGTGAAGCGGTGAAGGGGTAAAACGGTAAAGCAGTAACGCAGTGAGGGGGTATGGCGGTAAAGCTCGGCGCGGGAAATCTCAACGCGGGAAATCTCAACGCGGGAACGCGACCTAGTGGCTCCGCCGCGCAGGAGTGGCATCCCCCTTCGGGTGGGCCGTGCGGTGGGCCTACCCGCATCTGGCTGAAGGCGTTGCGAGGAACGTGCACGAACTGCGCGATCTGTGCGCAGATGTTCTCCAAGGTTAGTGGGCCTTCAATCCGAAGAACGCCACTATCATTCTGATACTGGTAAGGACAAATAAAATAAATCACAGGAAAAAGAACCTCCTCAAAATCTTTGGCCACACCGTACCGAATGCTATGCTTAGCTGTATCGATACCGACCACATTAACAGGAACAGAATTTTTTTTTAAAATTCGGGACAAATCAACCATTAAAGATTTCACGTGCATATTCATAAACACCTCATTGTTGTAAAAGAATACGAGTGTCTTCACATTGTTGTCAATAACGTTTTGCAGATGCTCCGGTCTGATGTCCTTATACATGTGTACGTGCTGCTTAATTTGGAATAATCTGCACAGTTTTCGATGCTTCTCATTTTTCTCCTTCACATGTGGGATATACAAACATATGAGGACATGCGGGAAGAACAACATGAGGGTGAAGCATATGTAAGGCAAAATGGTGGAAACATACTGGTACGTGTATTCCTCCTTTGTTAATCTTCTTCTATCGATGAGGAAGGACGAGGGGTCTTCGTTCGGCTCGTACCTTTGGATGTTATAATAGTATAGCGGCTCCACACTGTACTTCTTGAGCAATTCGCTCGCTGTGCACTTCGTTTTAACTGACCCATCCAGAGTGGACATCTCCAATGAGCTGTGCTTCTCTCGATGAACTCCTCTGATGTCTATAAAAAGTTCCCTCCTATTTTGTCCCCTAGTTAATTTCATTTTGTGAAATTCTTCTTCGAAGAAGTACATATCAAATTGGCTCAGTAAACTTTCTTTCTTCATCATCTCCATAAAATGAGACAAAGCGGAAAAGCTCGTTGGTTTAAAGATGATCCTCTCATACAATAAATTCTGCTTCTCCTTCAGACGGGTGAAGGTACCTACTTTGTCCATAATGACTAGAGGGAGTTCATCATTTTGTAAAATTTCGAGCAACTCTTTTTTCCATGTGTCTGTTTTTGCCTGACCTGTGCAGGCGATTTTTCCCATTACATTGTTGTGGCTGAACTGTTGGATGGAAACGAACTGGTACATTTTTTTATGAGGCCTCCGCATCAGCACACTTCTCAGTAGGTTGTGAGCAGGGTATCTTCTCAGTGGGGGGATCTTCATCAGGAGGAGTGAGGTGGGGTTCACTTCTTTTTATTTTTTATTTCCTATTTTTCCCGTGGTGGAAAAACGGGGGAGGGAGATTTTATCGTTCTGGGTTGGTCCCTCCTGTTGGGATTGTTGCTCTTCTGCGGCGGAGGGGTCTCTCAACTGGGTACCTTCAAACATAATGCAACCCCTGTGTGGCCTTCCTCCGCGTCTGTATATTCCCTCCAAGCCGAACAACAGAGGGGCGAAACCCGTTCGGAGTGCATTCCACAAAGAGTCAACATAGAAGGGTATATGTAACCTGATGAGGGGGGCATCTTACAAACATGTTCTTTTTATCCACTTGAGCTTATGCGATCATACGCACCTGCTCATGTATCAATCGGTGAGATGGGACAGGCGTCTCCATTGGTCAACTCTCTCTGTGGGGGGTGGAGCGACGAATCCTACAGGGGGGAAAGCCGCACCAGAGATGCAGCGTGGTGGCTGTTACTTTAGCACGGGGGTAACTATTCAGTTGGAGTGGGGGGTTCTTACAAAAAAAAAAAAAAAAAAAAGAAAGCTCATTTAGAAGAGGGGCACTTAATTTGGAGGCCCCCACGTTTAAGTGGTGGAGGCGCCATTTTCCGCGGAGATGGATCCCTCTCGGGGTGCGACAACAGATGAATACTTAATGCAGTGTACGTGGGCACGCCCCGCGGGAGTAAAGACGTATGAGAAGCTCCTCCTTCCAACGGTGTCAGCAGAGAGATCGCTGCGCGTTGGTCACTCTCGTTTGGCTCACATATGCTTGTTTCTTTGCACTTGTTTTTGACCCTCCACTTAAAGCGATTTAGCCGCCTTACGGGATTATTTTATCTTATTTTATTTCTTTTGTTATTTTTTTTTCCCCCACATGTAATCGCGCAACTGCTCAGAATGCAATCGAACAGTTGCTCATAATTGTACGTTTCCATCTGTGGATGATACTTTTCCTTTTTTTTTTTTTTTGTTTTATTCCCAAGGGAAGAGTTACCACACGGGAAGACGGCACCAAGGCCTTATAAGAAGTGGGCCGCCAGTGAAATGCTATCCTTTTTTTTCGTGGGGAAGGGGGGCATACACAATGAAGAGTAAGTAGGGCGTCCAGATTAGCCGCTTTGTCTTCCGAAAAGGCGGAGAGGAGACGTCCTCCAGACGCTTGCTAATATTACGTGTACTTTCTTTTCTGGCTTGCCCCCCCGCTCTGGAGCAGCACGTGCGCTACGAGACGCGTCCACCATTTCTCGCCTCGTCCACATGCCAAAATTGTAAACGTGTAAAATGATGAAGAGGATGGTTAGTTGTCGAACGGGGGGGGACAAACTTCACCACACGAGGGAAGAACGCAGGAGAAACAATAGTGAGAGGAACCCCTGGGGAAGAAGCCAGCCCACTCGGCAGAGGTACAATGGCAAAGGTTACACCTACAGGGGAATATGCGTCCATCAGAGGGAAGCCACTAACCAGGCGGAGGAGATGAACCAGGAAAGTTTACTATTGAGTTTGTTGAGCGGTGGGTGTGGATCTGTTGAAGAGAAGGAAAAAAAAGGAGGAGAAGGAAGAGAAGACGGAGGAGGAGGTTGGGGCAGCACTGTGCTTACCCCCCATCAGAATGGCACTTCGCCTTTGCACAGACACCCTAATGGAGAAGACGACGAAACAAACGGGTGTCCCACCCACAAATACAAAAAAGAAGATGCTGAACCGAATCAACAAAGCATTAAAACATATTACGAGCTGTACAACGTTATCAAATATCACAACATAGATAGAGGCCGAAGGAGGAATCGACTCATTCATTTTTGCAAAGAGGGGAGATTAAAAAGGAGGGCGTCCAGGAGAAATCGGCACAATGGTCATGTGATGGAAGGAGAGCAAAGTAGGGGAGAAATTCACTCTCCCTTTGGACAACAGCGAGGGCATCATCGAGACGATCAGAAGGAAGACCCACTGGAAAACATCTTAAGCCTCGAATGGCAGGACGACGGCTCCTCCAATTCAAACTACCTCCTCCAGTGTTGCAACGAGCAGCTACTGAACAGGCAGGTAAAAATACACCACACGGATTTCATCGAAATTGAGGACATCTTTGATGAGAGAAGATTACGTTTTGTAAAAAATAAAAAATTCTGTTTTTACAAAAATGGGGAAATGAATAAGTTCTGCAAAGAGAAGGAGCGGAGGAGCAAGGTGGACTCTAGGCGGACCACTCCAGGGAGTCATCTGAATGGTGGGAAAGGAGCCGAGATCAAGAGTCTCACCAAAGTAGAGGTGGAGCAACAGGAGGAAGAAGTGCGAGATAGTTCACCCTCTGGGGAAAGGAACACTTATGAGTGTCCTCCCTACCGAAATGGGAACCTCCACCAGGGGAACATCACAGAGGAGAGTCCCATCGGGGAAACCCTCCAGGAGGAGTCCCATGAACGGAGAGCTGATCGCTTGGGGGAGATTCAAATGGAAGACATAGACCTGCCCGATGGCCTCCGGGAGAGCAGTAAAGTAAGTCCTTCCCACAGTTCGAAGGAACCCACCCTGGGAGGAAAGAACTCAAATGAGCAGACCGACCCGATCGACCCCCTCGAGTTGGACCCTGACGGAGAGTTCTCCCTTTGCGAGGGGCATGACCACTTTGAAAATGAGAATGGAAGTAGCCCCGGAAATATGGAGGACAATCTAGCGGGGGACGTCCCCAGCGTGGAGGGAGATGCGAACGAGGAGGATAGCTTCCTTTCGGATCTCTACTTGGGCGACAACGAGGGTAGAGAAGCGGACGTGGATGAAGAAGCGGACGTGGATGAAGAAGCGGACGTGGATGAAGAAGCGGACGTGGATGAAGATGCGGATGTGGATGAAGATGCGGACGGGGAAGGAGAAGCGGACGGGGAAGGAGAAGCTGGCCAAGATAAAGAACCGGATGAGGGCTACCACTTAGACTGCGAGTTCGAAGACGTGGAAGTGAAGGAGGCGCTTGACGGCGGACAAGATGCGGACAGTAAGACGAGTCTGTTGGCAGAGGAAATGGTGGAGGGGAGCGATGTCCCAGGAGGAGGAGAGGTGCAATTTGAAGAGGATGGGCTGGTTGGAGAATTCGAAGAGGATGGGCTGGTTGGAGAATTCGAAGAGGATGAACTCATTGGCGAGCTTCAGGCGGATGGACTGATTGATGGGGGAGAGGAAGAGCCACTCAGGGAGAGCTCAGAGTCAAAGCTGTATCACCACGATTGCGACTTGGGGAGTGTTGCAAAAGTAAGCGACCTGTTTGACGACGTAGAGGTGGAAGAAATCGGGGCGGAGGAAGAAAGGGAGGACTCGCTGTTGCGTGAGCTGGAAGGAGTGGAACCGCAGCGGCAGGAGGAGGGGGACGACGACGAAGACGAGATGGCGAAGCATGAGCAGGCCAAGTCGTGGGATGTCCCATCCAGGCGGGGGCGGCATGACGGAGAGGACGACGCCCCCCTGCACGTCAACGTGGAGCAGGATTTTATCAAAGATCTGGGCCTAATGAAGGAGAAAGAAAATGTCACTTACAATGTGATGATGTATCCATATAATCCCGTAGCAGGTGGAGTGAATGGGACGGACTACGCAGGGGTGCAGCAAAACGTGGCTTCTCGGGAAAACAAAACCAAGGGGGAGAATTACGACTTTTTTAAAGACATCTATCGTGATTATTTTGATAAGTCGTATCAGTCTGATCAGTCAAATCAGCCTAATCAGCTTAATCTGTCTAATCCGCCTAATTTGTCTAATCTGCCTAATCTGTCTAATCGGCCCAATCAGCCGAATCAGCCCAATCAGCCGAATCAGCCCAATCAGCCGAATCAGCCCAACCACGACGAGCTGCACCTCTTCGGTGCAGACATCACGAAGAATGCTTACCTGTACATCCTTCAGAACTACGCCAACATGTGCAAATATAATCACGTGAATGTCTTTTCTCCTCTGAGTTGTAGAGACTACACAGATTACCTTTTTAAGGAGAGACGGATGGAGAGTGAGTTGATCTATGATGAGCAGATTATCGAGGAGGTCTTTCGAATTCATGAAGGGGATGCTGAGGAAGTGGCGAAGCGGAGGGGGCAGACAACACTTCGTCAGGGTAGAGGTGTATCTACACATGACGAACAGTCTGTTTATAAAAAAGGAAGGGAAGTCGAAGGGGACATCCAACGTGATTTCGTCATAAAAGGGGTGACAGGACCTACCAATCAACAGGGGGAAGGGTACCCCTCGGCAATGCTGCGAAGCGCTACTCACGGAGAAGGCATGCTGATGCAGATGTACAGACGAAACCACAACAACAACCATGGGTGCAGCTCCTTCATGAGGAAGACGAAGGAGATGTTTTACCTGCACATGGGGAGACACCCGTTTGGGTGGAGCTACACAGATGGTGAGGCTGGTCTTGGGACTCCTCCTGGAGCTGAGGCCGCGGCTCGGCCTGGGCAGCACATCTACCTGGACAATTTCACAGCCGTATGGGATCATTTGTATTCGAAGAGGAAGCATTTGGAAGGAAGAGAAACGAACTACATCTTACAAGAAATAAATAAAAAGCTAGCTAGCCAAATGGAAAGAAATGAACAAATTTCATATATTTTGAAAAATCATTTTCTGAGAAACCCCCCTGTGTCGGATATGTTACTCAGGTCACTCATTTGTTCCCCTGATGAGTTTAAGCAAGCGTTCAATCAGCAGTACGACTTTTCCGTGTTGCGGAATGCTGCGAATGATACCAGGGAGGGGGACAATTCCACTTCCGCTTGTGCTAATCACGTCCGTGATGCGTTGTCCCCCTGTGTGCAGAAGAGAGAGACGATGGACTCGCTGGTTGACTCGTTCGCAGTGACCCCATTCGAAGTGACCCCCTTCCACACAGCAAATCCATCAACCCACCCAAATGAACAGACCAACATCTTCATTCAAAATAAAGAGCTCAGACTTGGATGCATCGAAACTATTCTGAGTAAAAGTAAAAACATCTTCTTCTTCACTAATCTGAAACTAGACACATGCTACCGTAAGAGGAACCCCCACGAAATCGAGAATCACCGGGTCTCCCTCAGCACAGTGTATGTACACACGCGTATGGCCAATGCCTATATTTACAATTACGAGTTATCAAACAAGAAGGGGGTGATCGCTTTTTCTCGATTCCACAAATTCGATTTTAGGACGTCCATCGGGAGGCATTCCTTTGTGGACCCCAGGGAGGACGAACAGTCGGATTATCCGGAGAAGTCGCATCGTCTGGATAATCCAGATTATCCCGAACAGCCGCATCATTTGGAGCAGTTCGAAGGGGTGAAGCTGGGCGCGCTCAGGTGGGACCTCCTCAGGGCGGCCATACGCAGGGGAGGCGTTCTAGGCGACGCCTTTTTTGACTCACCAAGGAAGGAATCGGCGGAGGAATTGGCAAACGCGATGGAAGTGACCCCAGCGGTACAATTGCCCGATCGCCAGACCGGCACGAAGCTCACGCTGAAGCTCAACGCGAAGAGCCTACTCCCGCCAAAGAGTAGGAGCCACGCGCAGCACCAAATCGACCTCCTTGCGAACATACTTCTCGACCCAGATTTCAAACTCACTAGTAGCTGCAAAATTGAAACATGGCAGATACAGAATCAGTGCGAAAGATTACCCATGCTGAGGTATAATGAAGAAACGAAGGAGAATCCCGTGTTTCTCCTTTATGACAGCTCATGTCTACATCTGTCTGATGACAGTCCGCTTGTGATCCTTGAGTATATAGAAAAAGATCCGATGGTACTCCCAAAGATTGGCATGAATAGTAAGCTGAAACACTACGTTATGTGTCGGAATGAAGAAAGACTCTACTCCTTTGAGTTTAAGAGGAAAGTAAAGAGGGACATGGAACCCTTCGGCGAGATCAACGTGATGAACCAACCCATCAGCTACTTTGGCGTCAGCGTTCGGACGAAGAAGGCGAGTCAGAAGCTCAGCTTCCTCGAGAATGAGTTGTTCAAGGCGTTCCTCTTCCCGCCGCCGGTGTACCGCGCGGGGGGAGGGGCAGGAGGAGTGGAGGGCGAAGTGGCAGACGACGTGGCAGGCGGCGTGGCAAGTGACGTTGCAAGTGACGTGGCTAACCGCATGGACAACGATGTTACCGCTAACATGGCTACTCCGCCACTGCCAAAGGGAAGAGACGTTGGGACCTCCGCGCAGAACCGCAGCCAAGGAAACCTCTTTTACGACACGGACTTCCTCCTCATAAGGAACACCTGCACGGGGTGTCGAAGCAGAGTTTTTCTGAAGCCGCTCCATGTGGATAGCAGCTTGTATAGGGAGGTAGCGAAGGAGAAGAGCGATCCCTCCCCGGGGGAGGTTTCCCCGACAATTAGATGCGCTGGCGAACGTTACAGCGGCTGGGAGGGGGCCAAAGAAGGGATTCCGGGGGGTCAGCCCGTAGGGGAGGAGCAGGAAGGGGAAGAAGCGGAAGAAGCCGAAGAAGTGGAAGGAGCGGTCCACCCAGATGCCGCCCCCAACGAAGGTGAAGCGCTAGTCCGAGACGATGCCAACCATGGAGAGTCCCCCGTCACCCCGCCTCCCAACTGTGTGTTCTACAACGTGGGCTTCCTCGACCTCCACGTGGACATAACAAACCCGTCGTATAAAAAGTACATCGCGGAAAAGAGGAACTATGTGCGCAGCTGGCTCATCAAGTTGATTCAGAAGCACAAACTTAAGGACACAAAAAAGATTAAAGAAATGTTAAAGGCAAAATTAAACACCTTTATTAATGAAAAAGACATGAGCGCTATTATTAAGTCTCTCGATTTTAGTCTGCTCTTGAGCAAAAACTACGCAAACGAGGAACAGCAGAAAAATGTATTCAAATTAAAGAATGTCTGCACGATTGAGTCTACGTACCACTACCTACAGTTGCTAAAATACGAAGGGATTGATTTTTATAAAATGATGCAAGAGGGGGAGAAGTTAGACAGGCTGATTTCCATCCTCAAAATAGAACGACAGAGAGCGAAACAGAATATAGAGAATATGAAGAGAAAAATGAAGATCACATACAAAAGGTACTGCTACAAGAAGGAAGCGAAGACGATTGATTTTCAACTGAGGAAGAAACAAATTCAAATTCGATCAATAAGGAACTACAATTATGTTGGTTCCCATTTTTACGACAGAAATATGCTGAATTATTTGCTTTATATTAAGTACCTGATTTGTTGTTCCCCTTGGAATGTTCTCAAAGATTTCCGCTGCGCATCATCGCAGGGGCAGAAGCAGGGAGATGGCAGTGTTGAGGGGGACCAGGCAGAGGGAGGACCAGCAGCAGGAGAAGCAGGAACATTGGGACGACGACCAAGGCGGAGAAGGAGGAGACTCCAAATCAAAATGAAGAACAAGGAAAAAACGGAGAATAAAATGAACACGAAGATGAAGAAGAAGAGGAGAAGGAGGAGCAAAAAGAGGGACGCCACTAAGGGGGATGCTCCTTCCGAGATGGACTGGTGGGAGGGACGCCACAGTGGAGAAACAGGCGCGACGGTAGAAAATGCAAACGAAAGGTGCAGGAACAGACCCGTGAAGGATCACCCGTTCACGTCGGACGAGGAGCAGCAGGAAGGAGAAGAAGAGGAGAAGGAAGAACAGGACCAGGAAGAAGCAGAGGAGGAGGAAAAGGATGAACCCACCAGGGAAGACGTCTCCAATGAATCAGACCAATATCGAGGCGAAGCAAGAGGAAAGAAAAAGATCCAGTGGAGCACAAGGGAGGATGAGTCAGAGGACTCCACTGTGGAAGGAACACATCGGGAGAGGCAAGAAGAGGATGATATTGATGATGAGGGGGAACAACCGGAGAAGGGGACGCGTCGACGGCGCCCACGTGCAGGAAGAAGGAGAGCGCCCGATGAACACAGCAACGATGAACACAGCAACAGTGAACACCGCGACAGCGATGGCAAAGAAAGACAAGACGGAACGAACGATAAGAGGGCCGACTCGGGGCCAAATAGAAAAAAGACGAGGAAGAATTATTCCTACGCTTCCTACCTGTTTAATCACGTCGTGTGTAATGAGGCCCTCGCCCAAGGTGAAGAAAAATCAAATGACAAAGGCGGACCGCAGCAGATGCACCATTCGAGGAGAAACGAAAAGTCTGCCGCTTCCAACTGGAGAGCAAAGGGGAAGTTGTATACACGAAATGGAAGTGTGCACAGGAGGGAAACGTCCAGGGGAGACAAACAGGACGAAAAGAGGACCGACAGACGGATTGAGAAGAAGAGTACCCGTATGTATGCTGGGAACAACAAACGTTATGTCTTTCACGGGAAGGGGAAATACAACTTCAGTTACTTCCACACGAAGAAGAGGTTGACCGTAAATCCGGATGAGGCAGCCACTGGGCGGAGGTTTAGAGGGCCCCAGGGTGCACATCGAGCAGGGATGTACGAAGAAGAAGCGGAGGGAGGGGAGGACAACACCTATGAGGAGGTAGAGGTCGCAGACGAAGCAGATGACGCACAGGATGGAGATGATGCAGGGGACGCGGAGGACGACTTTGCTAAACGGCGCCCCCCCCACCGCGAGGGGCACCCACCCGAGGCGGGCCCAACCAAGCAACTACCACGTAGGAAAAGGCCGATGCCGGGTGAACTAGCTAAAACGACGGAAGAACCGGAGAAAAAAAACCCCAGAAGTGACATGACGCTGAGCAGCACCCGAATCCTAGCGCATCTAACATCGAGAGACATAGCGAAGGCTCTTCTGTCCATCGGATTTAATATGTCCGAGCTGAGGAAAATGAGTCGAAGTGATCAGATAAGGAAGCTGAAGGCATGCATCCGAAACGGGAGAGTAAATTCCCAAAACAGAGTTATCTATACTTGCATGGTGAAAAAGATTATAATGGAACAATTCAGACATCTGCATGTGCCGATTCATTTGAAGATGAGCAGTAACGTCTTGTACCTGAGCGAGAGGAGGAGGGAAGGGGCAGGCAGCAATCACCCGGGTCCTTCTCTGGATTGCTTCCCCCATGGCAGTCGCAGCAACGCCCTTGTAAGTGCCTCCAACTCGCTTCACCAAGGGGAGAATCCCTACCTAAGCGAAGACTATAAAAAACTGTACATGCATAGTAAGAGGAAGCAGATTGACAAGAACCGGATTAAGTTACTGAGGAGCTTCTTTCAATCCCCTTCCAGTGACGCCGACGAGTATGGCTCCTCCTTCTTCTCGTCCTCCTCATCGTCAGGCACGACGGATAGCTCCTCCGATTCCAGCTCAGAGGAGAGTTCCTTCCGTTTGGGCGAGGCAACCCCACTAGGGAAAATCAAACAGAGTAGAAGTCCACATATGCGAGGTGACCACATGGGGGGGAACCACAAGCGGGCGGGCCTCGGATGGGATGATGAACAATCGGAAGAGGAGGAAGAAAAGAAGCACCTGGAAGTGATAAGGGAAATACAGACGAAGAAAGACAACTACGAGGATGACCAGAATAATTATAGAATGGTGCACTGTCTCAAATGGACGAGGGTCTACGTAAGCAGGAGCGACCAAAACGATGCAGTTAGTGGTCAGAGCGGTGCACCATTTCAGAGGTATGAACAGGGCAAAGGTGGAGGGGGCATTTTCAACGGGGAGGGTGCCCTAAACGAGGGAGGTAACCCCTTGCACACGTTTCCCCATCCGGGAAAGGCAAAAGAATCACTCAACAGTGGCAGAAGAGCAGACAAGGGAGAGCAAGCCATGCTGAAGCACCACGTGAAGGACATGGAGAATCTCCTCTTTGACGAAAAAGCCAAAGTGGAGAAGATCCACACGCTATACATATATGGAGAAAAAAACATCAACACCTTTTTGCGGTGGAAAAGCTTCCGATCTGTGGTCAGAAAATATTTTACCCTCGTGAATGCACATCATATGAATGAACATGCCATGGGGGAGGAAGGAACGATGAGAGATAAGGTGGTTAGCCAGAGGGACAATGCACCCGGGAATAGGGGCTCACCTCCACATGGTGACGATGATGCGGATGGAAGTCTCGAACACGATAGTCTATTCTCCAACAAAGTGAAGAAAAAAAGGCATAGGAGACGCAGGCGAGGAATGGAGCTCGCAGGGGAAGGAGAAGGGATGACAAGAGGTTCCATATATGCCGCCCCCACGTTCAGGAACGTCCTTCGGATCTTCCCTACCGTTGGAGAGGAGTTAAAAACGTGGCACTCCGGAAAGAAGCAGACAAATAAAAATGACTCCAAACAGGAGAAGAAGAAAAAGAGAAGGGGAAAACTTCTCAACGAGAGTAACAACAAAGGAAAGGAAAGGAAGAAACGCAAAAGGGGAGAGTTCTATGTTGATGTGAACACCACCGCGGGAAAGCTCATGGGAAGAAAGTACGTCAATACAAATTATTCAGTCAATATTAAGATGAACAAATCGATGCATACATCTGTGTCTATGGCAGCATCCAGACGTAGGGGGTTGTATCCCCTGGCGATTGATCAGGCTGCCCAGATGGCTATGCAGAAAAGGGAAAAGAGGAGGAGACGAAGAACCGTCACTGCTGCTGCTTTGAATGGGAAATTGAAAAACTACAGGAGGAGATTCTCCAGAGACATTACCAATGAGGAACACCAGACAGGGGAGGAGACCGCGGGAGAAATGGAGGGAGAAACGGACGAATGGGACGAAGCCGAAGGGGAGGAAGACGCGGAGGAGGCCGCAGTAGAAGAAGAAACCCCTACGTATGATGCAGCGGAGGAATATGCTGCTGCGGAATATGCTGAGGCGAAGGAAGCCAACGAAGCGCGCAAGCGGAAGAAATTGCGGAGCCAATTGACCAAAAGCAACAGCTCGTTGACACTTTCGTTGAATGAGGAAGAGGAAGATGCTCATCGAACGGGTAAAAAAAGGAGGAGGGGAAGGGAAGAACTAGAAAGGGGAAGCGATAGGAGGGTCGAAAGGGGAGACCGCAATGACACAGAGCAGTCAAAAGGTCCGCACGAGCAACACATCTCGCCCAACGTGGCTCACACAGCCGAGAAGGCAGTCAGAAGGAGCACAAGCATACTATCAGACGGCACTGCGAGCCCAACCATCGGATCGAATGAAAAAAATGCCGCAGAAAGCGCAAGAAAAAAAATGAAAAAAGGAAACACATACAACAATATAAAGGAAGTCATCGAAAAGTTTAATGAGATCCTCATGTCCATCATGTCTAGCATCGCAGAAGTGATGAATTACAAAGCCTTCCTCAACGAAGTCAACGAAAGTTACGCCCCCATGTACTACACGATTATTAAAAAACCCATGTATATAAACAAAATAATTTTTCGGTGCAAAAAAAGGAAGTACAACAGTCTAAACCTTTTTTTCGACGACGTAAATCTCATCGTCAGCAACTGCAAGCTGTATAACACCCCCACGTCGGTCAGTGCCTACCTCTGTGTCATCGTGGACAGCATGCTCCTCGACATCGTGAACAAAGTCAGGTCCGATGAAAATCTACAGAATTATAATAATATCCTTATTGAGCACTTTTACAAGAATAAAATATTGAATAACACCTGGGAGAGCCTCAATATGGACATGGCCGCGGGGGCATCAGGCCAAGTCATCTCAGCGGGGGTAGGAAGTCACGATACCGGGGGGATTGAAGCAAATGACCATAGCCGGGTGGCAGCAAGTCACCATAGCGGGGGCGGATTAACCGTTGCGAATAACTCCGTGCCATCCGTAAATATGCACTCCAACGAGATGAACTCGAAGGACGCGCCCGCAGGGGAGGGCAATCCGTAATTTTTTTTTTCTTTTGTTTTCCTTTGCTTCCCTTTCTTCTTTTTTCCCCCCTTCAGAGGGAAGAAGGCACCCCTGCGCCACTCCAACCTGTCGCGTGTGATACGCTGCAGAGTAATGCTTTAATCCGATTTGGTCATACATCAAAGTTGTGCTTTTTTTTTTCCACCGTGCATACGTATGTGTATTCTTATCGTCTGACCTGTTCATATTTTTTTGAGTGACAAATGTGCTACGTGGAAGGCGCTTCGGACAGTCGTATTGGAAGAGTCAGTCTGGTGAGACGATAACTCCTGAATGTTCTCTTCTTGGAGGCCATAGCAGATGAGGAAAAAACATCACTCGGGAAAAACATCACTCTCGTTTTCTTCCACACTAATGAATGGCAGTTCTTCCTTCCGTTTTTGCACACCGTGGGGAAGAGGGTCAATGGATTAGCCGCTTAGTGAATGCAACTGCCAGCCGCGCTGAGAACAAAGCCAAAATGGCACGCCAAGTTGTGTGACCATCTCTGTCCCCGGCTAACATACCCTTAGCACCGTAAGTTGGGGCATACAAAAAAAAAAAAAAAAAAAACATGAAAAGGGGGGATACCTCCATTCGACTGAAAAAAAAAATGCCAATTGGGACCCCGCGAAAGGTTGCTACGGTGCACAAGTGGGAAGAAATGTGTAGCGGGAAATGGCAAAAGGGGAAAAAAAAATAATAGGAAAATTGAAGCACGGTGAAGCAGCGTGAAGGAACGTGAAGTTGAGGCGAACTGAACCAAATTGAGGCAAATTGAACCGAATTGAGGCGAACTGAACCGAATTGAGGCGAACTGAACCAAACTGAAGCAACGCAAGCGCGACCGTCTTTACGACCACCCCTTCGTGAGAACACGCGCCAGCGATGCCAACCCAGTTGGGCAATCCCAGGGAAGATTCACCCCTTCCTTTGTCATCCCCCCGACCAGATTGAAGTCGGCGGCAGGTCCATGCTCAAATTTCTGCGTAACACATGTGTGTGCGCGTCCTTCCTTTCTGTTTAGTAGGAGTAGCCCGTTTTTTCCCCTTTGCCGGCAATTGGGGAGGGTGAAGTGCTGACCAAGGGGACGGTCCACAGAGAGCTTCCCTCCCCCCGCGCAAGCCACATTTCCTTTCTGTGAGGCGTCTGCAAAAAGTGACCACATGCACTGTGTGCTTCACCTGAAGGGTGTCTACTGACAGGCCACGGTGGCGCAACGGAGAAGAGCAGAGACACGCATTGCTACGCACCGCCACGCCTTACTACACCGCGTCACTTGTGCTCCCCACTGCCGCCCCCCCGTGATGACTCCCGACAGCGTCAAGCGGACGTACGAGTGCCTGTACACGCACCAGAAGATACAGAAGAGCAAAAAATGGCAGGAGGGGTACTGCGAAATTATTGCCACCTACGGGGTTATCAAAATCAACCTCCTGAATCAAAATAGAAGTTGCATCGAGAGCTCACTCACTAACGTGATATCCTTCGACAACGTCCAAGAGGAGATCGAACTCGCGAACCACTTGGTCCAGTTCGTGGACTTAAGCAATTATGTGGAGAATGTCATTAAGAGTGACACCACCAAAAAAAGGAGAGCACTATCCACCCCACAAAATGATGAAACGGTAGATGCAAATAGAAATAAGAAGAAAAACATGACAACACACTGGGAGGTGAACAATTTGAGGCCATTCATAGGGGAGGAGCCACCCGCAGCTAACATTCAAAACGATGCTACTACATTCCCCGTTCGAAAGACAGAGAGGTATGTCCGTGTTAATAGGAGGTATGAAGTACCAAGGCGGATTGAGCAACATGTGGATGTAGAGAAGGACGAGGATCCACCTGGTGAGGCGATACAACATTTGGAGGAGGACCATTCTGGGGAGGACTCATCAGAAGGGAGACTCCCTGACATGGTAAGGAAAAAGAAGTCAATGCATAGAATAGCACCACGGAATCTGCCTCACCCGAGGGACAGCCACGAACGAATCAGTGTAACCTACACAAACATACACACCTTTAATAGTAAAAAAAAGAATGTCAAGTGGTATGATGGGTTCCTCGTACAAAGGGAGGATCTCCTAGAGCTCTATAATGACTTAGAGGGGAGACTACACATTCGGAGTAGGGATGAAAGTATACAGCATGAGGAGTATGTTCAGTTTGGGAGTTACATCGTGTATAATGATTTCTGCTTCCACTCTGCCGAGAAACCACACGTGAATGTCGAGAGGAAGCCCAGAAGAATTAACGGCATGGTAAAAGGTGTCAGCCTCAGGCATGGGGGCAGGATACCTATGCAGTTGCATCAGGTGCCGCGAGGGAGGGGCGACCCAGGGGAGGATACCGACGCTGATGAGGAGGAAGAGACCAATGAGGGGGTGGATGCCCGTTTGGATGCTAACTGTCGTGTCCACTCCGCCGCGCCTGCAGAGCGACGGGCGAACCAGCACCCCTATGCAGAGGCAGTAAGCCCCTTCAACAAATGTGTAAGAGGGAAGGAGGGGCCCTCCGGCCCTTCGGAGGCGAAACGGAGGCACGTCGATACTTCACCAAGTGGGAAGAAGGAACTTCCGACGGATGACCGAGCCGGGGACAGCGACTCCCCTGAAGAAGCGTCTTCCCACCAGGCGGATGATAACCACCCAAAGGACGACCAACCGAATGAGAGCCGCCGAAGGGACGACCAACCGAATGAGCGCCGCCGAAGGGATGAGCTGGAGTTCCCCCTTTACAAAGACCCAAGTGGCCGCAGCGACGCGTACCTCTGCTCCGCGGCCAGACAGAAACACAACACATACGAGGAGATCATCAATATAGGGAAAGTCGTCAGTCAGAACAACTTTTTGTGGGTGAACCCACACCGAAATGTGATAAGGCTCCCTCTGGGATGCAACATGCTCAGCAGGCGCGTGCCCAGCGTGCTCCCCGCGCGACCGCCTCGGGGTGATGAGGACGGGGGCAGCGTGGAGAAGCAACCCGGCGGGGGTGACAGAACCAGTGAGAGAGAGAGACCCTGTGGTAGTGACAGAGAGATGGAGAAGCACCCATGCGGAAGTGACAAAGACAGTGAGAGAGAGAGACCCTGTGGTAGTGACAGGGAGATGGAGAAG